CATTGACCAGTGTCGAGTTTCCATGTACACTACTGTTTTACAAATAGCTAATAAGTCATCCAATGCACATGCCCTCCTCGAACCMCCCCCMCCCCCCCCCCCSCCCSCCSMCCMYCCTGCTCCCCCCCCCCCCCCCCCCCCCCCCCCCCCCCCCCCCCCCCCCTTGCATGGAACGCACATCGACCCCCCCCGCCTCCCCCCCCCCTCCCCATGAGCCGAACATACATGCACATCCATTACCCGACATGCAAACTCGAGACCCCAAACCAGCCCCCCTAATTCTGCTACACGGCACCTCCAGGTGAAACTCAACCACATTGTTGTCTCACGATCCGCTACACGCTTCTCCACACAAAAAACCTTACTCATGATAGATCCCCGACAGCGTCTATCCACACAATGCATCTATCCACATCGCAAAGCACCACATACTCCTTCCCCATGCCATAGCTTACAAACTCGCAAGCTCGATACCTGACATGCGATGTTCACTTCGTCCCCTTACAACGTACCGCACTCTAACTTTGATCCGAATTGAAATGAGGCCAAACTCACACTCCACCTCACTATCCTGCTTCCTGTCGACAAACCTTTTGCCTCGGCCCCACACGCGAATTCGCGCCACTGGACCTCTGCCTAAACTCAATGGGTGTTGTTCACTGGCACTAACATTCGTTAAATGTATCTGACTGCATTCACACCCTGCATTTGTGTTGTATCTTTCCATGTTTGGGCACAAAATTCATTTTTATTAATCTGACAGATTACCGTACGTGCCGGCCCCACCCACCATGAAAAGAAAAAACAAAAAAACACAAATCTTTCGCTGGAACATGGCAAGATACAATGCCATAGGGGGAAAAAAAGACAAAATGGGAAAGCCCACACGACTTCCCGCATGACAGCACACCCTGAACTACCTCCGCACAACCACCCTCCCTTTTCCCATGGACGATTGATCACGAAGTCGGTGGGCGGAACAACAACCGCACCCCCTTTTCACGATGTACAACGCCCTCTAACCCCCCATATACCGACGACGACATTCCCTAAACGCCAAGTTCCACTAAACGACAAAACACAACCATGCATACGCAGCCATCCTGGCTGCGAACAAAAGACAACTAGGTAAGTCTCCGCCTCCTGGCTGCGAACATCTCTAGAGTTTTTTTCCTTTGAAGAGAATAGCGCTGCACCCCTTTCCAGCCTTGGGGCCAAGGTCCCACTTAGCCTGGGCGGATTCTTCAACCGTCGATTACGAGATCAAGGGCCAGCAACGTAGAATCTAGGTCAGTAGGACCACAAAATCTGGCTCGTTCAGCGGGGTGGTCCAGCCATCTCCCTGTGGTCCCACGGGCAAGGGTTGTTGAGATGGTGACGCCCATACTGGGTGCGAAATGCGACATAGGGCCTCGCTACACTACGCTTGAAACTTAAAAAAGTTCAAGCCTCCTTCAAGAGTTGTGAGACTCTTGAAATGCCCGATAGCGGGTCTTCGCTGCACTTATTGTAGACGACCCCACTCTTGAACGTCCTATAGCACTACCCGACAACGCCAATCTGGTTTGTCCTTCCCAAAAATAAAATAAAAAAATCTGGTTTGTTGGCCGAGACTACAGACCTGTTCTCGAAAAAGCAGAGCTCGTGAAGGGTCCCAGCGACCACCCTTGAAAAGAACACCTTGCAAGCAGGCACTCCGGAAGCTTCTAGCGTTCATTTCAATGAGCGTTCTGACACCTTTTGAAAAAATAAAATAAAGAGCACATTTCTTTAGTTAGGGCCTACTCGCACTAGGGCCTTTTATGGCAAAATTATAGCTAAAATTTGATGGTTGGGCTACTTGCACGAGGCAGGGAAAGTGGCAAAAGCAGCAAACGGGGTATCAAATGTCACCGGCGTGGCCGGCTGCAGAGAAGGGCATTTTGCTACCCCCTCTGGGGCACGGTTCCACTAGCAACCGAGTAAGGTAAAGTGTCCCATGGTGACACCTGTGGGACATCCGCCACCTGTGGGACGTTGGTGCATCAAAATCGGAGGGCAGCAAAATCAAGATGTTCGTATATTTAAAAATGATGTTTTAATTTATTTTTTTCTTTTTTTTTTCTTTTTTTTGGTGAATAACAGGATGTGGGAAAGAGAAATAGCAAGTCTCTTTTCTATTGGTGGCTGCAGAAAAGCAAATAAAAAAATCAAGTACTCGAAGTCGTTGGTATTGACCGTGCTTTTTTTTCCGGTCAAAAGCAAGTTCCTCGAGTACTTCATCTTCCATAACAAAGTAGAAAAATCTGCTCGTTCCTAGAATGATACCGTCAGTAGCGAGTCCCTTCGGGCACACTAACGGACTCCCTCAGAGCAACCATCGCGTAAGATTTCCCTCTCATGGGAGGGTAGGGATCATATGCCCGAACAATCCAAAATGATTGGAATCGCTTGAATCTGGACATGTTTTGGCAGCTATGCATAGAACCAGTTGAATGAACTTCCGCACAATGACGTTCAGATTCAGGCATTGAATCAGGTTTTATTGTGACCACGTCCAGTAAAGCAGCGAATAGTCTTTGTCCTCATTGGGCGTTGCCCACCATCCAAGACGGTTTTTTTTTTTAATGGGGTAACTTCAGTGGAGTCACAAAAACGAGTTATAATTGCACTATGCAATTTGCAATCGCAGTTTGGGCACCGTACGTGGCCAGAAAGCTGGGTTGTATACATTGTCCGAACTGCAATTCAAAACTGTATCTTGGCCCATAGTGCAATTATAACTCGTTTTTGTCACAAAAACGATTAAACTTGCACTATGGGGCAAGATAC